GATGATTTGTTGAATTCTGCTTTCCAGTATCTTATTAAAGATTTTTACATCTTTCTCTTCAGGCAGATTGTTTTCCTTTTTGGCTGTGTTCTTCTCTTGCTTTGGAATCAGGATAATACTTGCTTCCACGAATGATTTTGGAAATACTACTCCCGTTTTAATTTTTATAAAGAGTTTCAGCATTAGTTCTTCTCCGAGTTCCTTGTGGAATTCAACAGTCAGGCCATCAGGGCTTGGAATTTCATTTGTTGGTAAACCTTTAATTACATTTTCAGTTTTATTGACTGATATCAATTATTTATAATTTTTATATCTTCTTGTTTTAGTTTTGGCAATTTGATTGTGTCCATGAATCTGTTCATTTCTTCCATGTTTTCTACCTTTATAAGAATGTACGTTCTCAAAGTAGGTACTGATGAGCTACTGGATTTCTATGAGATCCAATGTGATTTCCCCTTTTTTTCCTAATTGCTTGAATTTGTGCCTTTTCCTCCTCTTTTTGGTGAGGTTAGCTCATGGTTTATCAATTTTATTTACTCTTTCAAATAATCAACTTTTTGGTTCATTAATTCTTTGTATTGTTTTCTTAGTCTCCATTGCATTAATTTCTTCTCTTATCGTTATAATTTTCTCTGTCACATGAGCTTTGGCTTTTATTTGTTCTTTTTTCTAGACATTTAAGAATCAACATTAGGCTGTTTATTTGAGCTCATTTGCTTTTCCTAATGTGTGAGTATAAATTTCCCTCATAGGATTACTCTCATTGTGTCACATAAATTTTGTTCTATTGCACCTGGGTTATCATTTAATTGTATATATGCTATAATTTCATTCTTAATTTCCTCTGTGATCCATTGTTTGTTTAAAAAAGCATTTTTAATTTCCATGTGTTAATGTAGTTCATGAAATTTCTTTTGTCATTGATTTTCATTTTTATTGTGCTATGGTCAGACAGTATGCATTATTTCAATTCCTCTATGTTTACTTAAACATATTTTATCAGTTGATAAATGGTCTATTTTTGAGAATGTCCCTTCTGAAACTGAATGCGTATTCCAAACTTTTGAGGTGGAACATTCTGTGAATGTCTGCCAAGTCCTTTTACTCACAGGCTTGGTTTAATTCTAATATTTCTTTATAGACTTTTTTTGTCTAGATTATCTATTTGTGAGAGTGGTGTATTAAGGTTGCCCACTACCATAGAGTTGGTGCTTACTTGGTTTTTTTTTTTTTTTTTTTTTTTTTTTTGTGTGTGTGTGTGTGTGTCTGTTAATATTTCTTTTATGTAACTTGGTGAACCTGTGTTTGGTGCATAAATATTTATGATTGCTATCTCTTCTTCTTGGAGTGTTCTTTAATAAGTGTATAGTGACCTTCTCTGTCCCTTTTGATCAGTCTTGGCCTAAATCTTTTTTTCTGGGTTCCTATAGCATGGAGAATTGTTTTCCATCCTTTGATTTTTATTCTGTGAGTTTTTTAGGGCATTAAATATGTTTCTTGAATGCACCATACTTTTATGCTTCTGGATCCATTCTGTCTTTCTGTTTCTTTTAATTGGTTAGTTGAGACTGTTTACATTGATGGTTGTAATCAATATGGATTGGTTTGTATTTTCCATGCGTTTTTCCTACTGTTTGTTGCCTGTATTTCTCCTCTGTTTAATTGGTGCTCTGTATGGCAGCTTCTTTTTATTGGTGTTCATGTGTTTGTGGTCTTCATTATCTAATAGTCCATCAGAGCATTCTGTAAAGCTGGTTTGGTAGTCATAAATTCATTAGTTCTTTGTCATGGAAGTATCTTATTTCTCCATTAATTGTGAAAGATAGTCTCCCAGGGTATATCAATCTGGGTTAAAGACTGGCTTCTTTTAGTGCTTGAAATACAAAATTCCAAACTGTCCTTGACTTGAGGGTTTGTGTTGAGAAGTCCGCTGTGATTCTGATGGGCTTTCCTTTATAAGTGATTTGTTTCTTTTCTATAGCTGATTTTAATATTTTATTCTTCTGTTGAGTTTCTGGAACACAAGAAAGAATTCAGATCACCTTAACTATCCAGGTATATGCAACTGATGTTGAAATGCAATAAAAAAGATAGATTGATAGATCAATCCATGGATGCTTAAGTACAGTAAAAAACTCAGGTATAAAAAATAGGCTTCATGGGTGCTCACTGAATATGTCTTTCAACATTTTTATCTTTGAGGATTAAAAAACATTACAGTAGAAAAGCCCAAATTTCCTAGAATAAAAAACAGTAGATGTCTCTAAAATGAAACACAATAGCTTCACAATAATCTAAAGAAAAAACGAGGTAATAAGGCAGTAGTTAGGGAGCTGTCCCGGAGATGAATGTTTGCAGGGAAGTGAATAGAGAAGAAGCTCCCACACTTTGGGTTACCTCCTGTCTGGAGTGAGGCACCTGATTTCAAGTTGAGTGAGTTAGCTGGTTTATGCAGAATGGAGGATGAAGAGATCACACATAGGAGAGCTGCAGCTAGGCAGGGTATAGCACACAAGCCCAGGCAATTTCTTCCAGCCCTATGTTGGCTGAGGGCTGACAGCCAGGAGCATGGTTTTCATCAAAGGCTGAGCTGGTTGATGAATGTGCAGCAGCTGCAGCATGCAGCTCACTGCTCTGACTTAGAGGGAAAATTAACTGGTGAACTCCTGGATGGCCACATCTCGTCTATTTAAAGAACCTGAATTTTATCTCCATAGACAATTAATGAGGGTTGACCTAACTAGATCCTCATGAGGGTTAGTTTCAGGCATTGGTAGACCAAGCCTAAGAGAAGATTCATCTAGAGTAATAAATAAATCATCCTCCTAAAATGTGGTCTTCCAAGATTTTAAGTAAGTACTGAGCTGCTCAGTACATTTTCTGCTATTCTACTGCTTGGAATTTTCATATCTCACAGTTCTTCATTGTCTATAATATTTCTAACAGGCTCATAGCTCCACAGGAGCTCTTCTCTGGAGTGCCGATAGGGTCTCTTCTCATGCATACAGTGCTTGGTATTTAGCCATGAATGCAAAAGACCCTGACCCAGAATCACGGCTGTACAATTCTCTACTCCCCAGCTCTTTCCCTACTAGTCCAGCTGGTAGGTACTTATTCCTCCACTTTCTTTCATCTTCCCAGCACTACTTCATTCCATTTTTGACTTGGCCTCTCCGGTCCCACCCTTTGGAAGTTGCACAGGGTGTACAAAGCTCATGTGAAAGTGAAGCTCCACTCGCATACATCTCTTAAGAATCTTATCTTTGGGCTGTTGGTCCAATTTCTGGGAGCAGACTCTAAGTGCACTGTATGTCATATCATATTTTCCTACAGTAAGAAGTTAATTTTAGTAACATTTATTCCATCTCCCTCAGCAACAAGTGGTATGCACATGTTTTAATAGGAACAAATTGATATATACCAGTCAGAGGGACAACTTCAGTTTTGCTCTTTATTTGAAACACAGCTGATTTTCCATATATAGTTCCATGACTTCCCATCTGGTAAGGACAGAGCACATTTTACACATAAGTTATAAGTCCTTAGATCTCACATTCTGTTCTTCTGGGGTAAAGATCTGTTCTTGCTGAGTGAAGTCATGGCTCAGTTACTTCCTGGGTAGAGATGTTTGCTGTCTTCCGCTGAAGATTTAGGTTGGGGAAATCACATTTCCTGATAACAGAAGAAGAGAACCATCCCTCTTATTTTTTTCATTTCTAACACATATGACAACTATCTAGAACCATTATATCTTTGTAACAAACAACTCAAAGGTAAGGGCTGAAAGATAATGAGTAAACCCAACACATTAATTGTTTTTATAGTTATGAAAGCCAAAAGCCTGAGATGACTTTTACAGGCATGAAATACAGAGATGTTTCATTCTGAATCTCTTTCTTGTTCTTCCAGTTTCTCCAGTACCTAGTGTCCTTTAGAGCTTGTAGTTCATCAGTTTCATTGTATCCTGTAGCTTTATACAGCTGTATATTCTTCCTATTTTATTCTGAAGCATTAAAGGATACTGTAGATAACATTACTGTCTCACATTACCAGGGCTCTTTTTGTTTATTCCTTTTCGTTCTTGTGGATGTAGTTTATCAGCATTGGAAATGGAAAGCTGCCCCTCACCTCCCTCCCAACCTTACTCAAGCTTTCACATCTCTCCCAAAGCGGGACTGAGTGTACTAAGAGCCCACACCTAACACACTGAGTAACGGCTTTGTTCAGTGACCACAAGGTCTAAGAGGGTGAAAAATCAGTGGAGCGCGGGAAGAGAGACAGAGACAGAGACAGAGACAGAGACAGAGACAGAGACAGAGAATATACATGAACTTCTATTAGTCCTACACATATTTTACTATAAGAGGCACATAGCTGTAGGAAAAATAACAAACACAAAAAAACCTTCAACTGGAGTTTCACAAAACAGCGTATCTAATTGCCAATAAACCCATAAAATTCTCTCAGCTTCACTAATAACCAAGAAAATGAGAACAAAATCAGAGAGCAAAATGTTTAGATATTCCTAATCCAAGAAGCAGGAGGTGGAGAAGAAATCTTACTTTTTGCAGTATCGGGAATGGAATCCAAACTTGGCCTTGCTAGATTAGGGCTCTACACTAATCAAGAGCCCAGACCCAGAGATTTTAAAAAGAAGAGAAAAGATTAGTAGGTAACAGTTTGCAGCAACTATAACTATCAATTCCAAAGGCAAAGTAAATTTATAACGCCTACTTTGGAAAATTTCTGTACGTCAACATCATTGCCAGCCTCGTTTCTCCACTTGTGCTAAAACAATTTCCTAAGAAACAAAGTAGGATCTGCCTTTTAACTTTTGGTTTATCTAACTTTTAGCAGTGTTTGAAAATGCTACCCAGGCAGTGTTATGAAAAGCAGGTGTGCATTTCACTTGTGCCCTGTGCCTCTGTGTGAACAATGAAACCATACCTGAAAAAGGTTTCTAGAAAATGGAAAAGACATGTGGGTTTCTCTCTTTCTAGACAACTCCAGCTGAGATCAGCCAACAGCCAATGTATCCCAACTCACCTGGGCCAGCCTGTGCAAAAGAGTGCGAGAGATAAGCTGAGACCCAGCTGACCATCAGCACCTAAATAATAAACACTTCTTTTGGTATGTAACTGAAATTTTATAGTTGTTTATTACATAAAAAATATTGTGAAAGGAGACAAACATTGTTTTATAATTTCTATGGTTTGGATTATTTTCCTGTACTAGGGATTAGACCTAGTCTCTTTTGCTATATCCCCAGATCTTTTTTATTTTTTGCTTTTATTTTGAGACACGGTGTCACTAAATCACTAAGTTGCTCACTCAAACATGTGGCACTCCTTCCTCAGCCTTCCAAAGTGCTGATTATAGTCATGTGCCACTAAACCTGGCTTTATGGTTTGGATCTTAAAGGTCCCCCAAGGATCCGTGTATAAAAGTCGAGATTTACAAGGTGGCCGTAGGGAATTAATGGAAACTGTGAGAGATGTAGCTTAGAGAGAGAAAGATCTTCCAGTCATCTTCTTGTGCTTCTTCCTGAATGACATCTATTGACAAAGGTCCAAGGTTCTCTGGATTCACTTCCAGCATGGGCTTGCAGAATGCAGAGGGCTGCAGGGCCCAGTGCCTTCCCTCCACTTTCACTTTCTGGCCATGAGTGGAGCAGTGTGGCTCCACTTTGCCCTCTGTGACATTATGTGCTGTCCCCTCACAACCCAACAGCCATGGAGTCAGAAAATCAGAGGCTGAAACCTCAAAATCTGTGGGCCAAAATAAATCTTTTCTCTTCGTAGATTAGCCGTTTTGGGTATCTGCTATGAGAATATAAAACTAACACTAGAATACTTCTAGAGTTAAGTGCACACCACATGACCTGGCAGTTTCCTCCTGGTCGTGTAAAAACAATCGATACATAGATTTACCAAAGAACATGAAGCAGAATGTGAGCCACATCTCTACTCACTATAGCAAATGAAACAAAGAAAGCAAACCTCGAAGCCACTCAGATGTTTGTCAATACTTAAACAGATGCATACCTTGTGGTATATCTCCCCAAGAGGGTATCTGACACTAGTGACAATGACAAATTTTCAATTGCAAATTATTGAGCAGTTGAAGCAAAACACAAAAGAAATCATTTATGCTGCTAGAGTTAGGGTAGCAGAACCTTTGGGAGGAGTGGGGGTTGATAGCTGAAGAAAACTAAGAAAGGCTTCTGCCACACAGTGATATTGTTTTTCCTTTTAAGTGGGAGTAGGTACATGAGGATTTTCAGCTTCTGAAAAATGAGTGTTAGATTAGTCCTGTTTTTCCCAAAATATATTTTTCAATTTCCAAGATGACAAACATGAAAATCATTTGGTTTTGTGTTTCAAAAAGTGAGAATTATTTGGAAAAGGGAACATACCCTATTCCCTCTTCAAGACTCATCTTCATTTTAACCTCTGAGCTCTGAGAAGTCTGACAACAGCCAGGAGCCTCTTTGTGAGTGACATCAGTTAATAAAAGGACCATAGGAGTAGTGTGCTTTGGGTTCACTGCAGAAAACCTCAAAATGAATAATCTCCCAACCCCTTTTTACTATCAATGGTCCACAAAATTAAAGAGAAAAGGCTTTCTGCGGACTGAGAATGTGGGAGTCTGGGTGGTACCTTCCTGCTTCCTGAAGTCTTGGACAGCTGTGGGAAATAGCAAGCAGAAGGCCAAACCCAAGCTCTCTTCTATATTCAGTGATGGCGGGCTGGGGAAATGATAAAGTTTCTGTTCCCTAATTTTCTCATCTGAAACACTTATCCTGTAATATCTTTCAAATCTGCATTATAAATATGTAAAGTTGCAAATGAAATATATATATGATATATATATATATATATATAATTTATATACATAGTGGCTTAAAACTTAATTTACATCTTAGGGAACTTAAGGCTAGATAAGGAGCTGAGTTTAAAGGCTATAAATAAGAAAGACATACTAACCTGACATCACACTTTGTAATAATTTTGGAAATTTTGACTATCAAAAGGAAACATATTGGAATAAATAAAAATCACTGTCTCGTTGACCTAACAGAGTAACTGTTGGGGTTCTTTTATTTTTAGGACTATTCCATATAGCAACTAAATTTAAATACTCATGCATTCATATGTACACATTTAAAATAGTGTCAATCCCTAGTGAAATCACCTAACTGTTTTTTAATGACAACCCACTCATTTCAAAATCTACCCAAAGGAAACTCAGAGATGGTGAATAACTTTCAGTTTGTACAACGCTTTAATTATTCTTTCTCAGCACTTCTTATCAAATCCTACCTAGATGGTTACCAACAGAGATTACCTAGTTCTCCAAGCATATTTCCTCTGGTCCTCTTGTTACACGTCCATTCAGCTCTACCCTAGTATTAATGTTCTTGAACAACGTCTACAAAAAGAGTAGTGACAAAGTACTCTTCTAATACAAAATATATGATTGATTAATTCAATGCCTATCACTGTTACGACTCTATGAGAAATGTTGTGACACAGTGAAAAATCACATCAGAATAAAATTCACTCTCTACAAAATACAGAACATTTTTTAAAAGGCTTAAAATAACCAACCTCTAAAGAGAAAATTCTGCAGAATAATGGATATCACTGAGTTCAAAGGATAAAAGAAAAAAGCAAGGAGGTTAATAGGCAGAATTTTGTACATTTCTCCTAGAAAATGTCAGTAGGTTTTGCCTCAGATAAATCTTCTGTTTTAGTCTTTTTCTTTTATGTGTAAATTTTCCTTTAGTAAAATCTCACACTGTTTATAAAATTCTCATGTATATCTTCAAAACTACAGTGAACTTTGAATGTAAGAGCTATGTCTCAATTCTCGTGTTTTCTCATGAACTCTAGAAGGGAATTTGACAAAAATTAGAAGCTGAGTACAATTTACTCAATAAATCAATACAGAGGTAATAGGATGCTAGGTGAATACTTGGATTTTATTTTATATTTCAAATTAAATTTTAAAATTATAGTATGAAATACTTCATGTTAACCTAATAAGTTAATGAGAATATAAAGCAACCACAAGAAATCAAATAAAAATACCACTGTGCTCACTAACCCTTTCCCTGATTTTTCTTTCTGGGTCTCCTTCTCAGTGGTGTTTGACATATCAGTGTAACTCTCCATGTCTTTAAATGCCATCTTGTGTACCATCAGTCAGTGCTCATTATAAGAGCATGTTTAATGCAAGTTATACAAATATATAAGATACAAATATAATATGAATTAAATACATTTATAATATTTAAATGACAGACTTGCAGGAGCCACTCATAAAATCAGGTGTGGAAGAGGGAGGAGATCTAAAGAATGCAGTCAGGGGACTGGGCTTCCCTATAGTGAGTCCTGTGAGTGCTTATCAGGAAGTTTAGGAGTTTCTGCCTGAAGGCTGGAGGGTCTGGGCTAGACGCCTAGAAAGAACATTCAAGGTGAAAGTGAAGACTGGGGCTCCTCTGAAATATCAGAGCCCAATGTTCTTCCTCATATGGGTCTTCTGCCTTCAGTGAATTCCTTTAGCCACACACAGGATGATGCTGTTTCTTATCCAATTTGACACAATCAGTTAATTATCACACTCTATTTTGACTATCACACAGGTATATCATATTATATTTTTGTAACTTGTGTTTTACCTTCATAAATCTAATGGAGAAATATAGCAATGTTAATGTATACTATTTTAGTTCATTTTCCCTGCTTCAGAATATTATTGCTTCATCTGAAACCATGGTTTACTTATTAATCCTTGCAGTGATGGAACTACTGGTTCTCACACCATGTCACTGTCACATTCAATGCTGCCATGAGCTTTCTGCCACAACTCTTTGTGCAAAATTGAGCAAAATTCTGCAGAGATCATTCTTATCCATTCATTGAGTCATATTATAAATGTATCTTTAACTTGACCAGAGATTCTCCACAGTGGAGAGCTGGTGTAAATCTGTGAGAAATTCTGATGTCTATTCAAAGGCAGGGGTGCAGGCCATAGTGACCCAAACCTTTCTCCTGCTGACCCAAAGAAACCTTACTTCCACAAAACTCAAGTATGTGTGTATCAAGTATGTGTGTATCAGTGCTTTATGGAAATCTTTATCAGATAAATGGCCTAACCATTGTAAATACAGCCCACCAAAGTTAAATGTTGCTCAAACAAAGAAGTGGTTTTATTTACGCAAGTATGGTTCATGCTTACTGTATTGAGACCTCATTGTCAGTTCTGTTTTTTCTGTGTCCTATCAGTTTTAATATCTGCTACAGTGTACTGTGGAATAAATAGCACCAGAGATCCACCATCATGGCTGCTGAGCTACTGAGATTCTGGAAATTTTAATTTTCAGATAAAAGTCTATCTGTAACTAATTAAATCCTGTAATTTTTCAGAACAGCTGAGTAAAACCACGTAGTTGTAAGGCTATAATTTACAAAGTGATTATTCAAATATGGATTTGTTCATCAGAATAGAACATCTCAACACTAAGCTGTGACTGCAGCTGATATTCTATTCCTATTTCTTTCTCATATTTCAATACAAAGTTGCTTAGAAAGGACCTTAAAAAGCACCTTGAAATGAGATGGAGATTCATAGTGAGATTAAATAATTTTCTTGTTTCTTTTTGTTCATCTATCTACTATTTGTTTTTTGTCCAAAATAAAATGAAACACTCAAGTGCTTTTGTGTTTATGTCCTTACTTAAAGTGATTTTTTTTTGTAAAGCACAGCATAGAAATGTGCACACAGAGTATAGGTGCACAATGTGATTTTTGTTTAAATAACTTCATCCTTTGTATCAATAGAGAAATGAGAAAATAGAACATTACCAGAAAGGGAAAGGATGTATTTTTCTTTCTATTCATAAACCTTCAGCAAATCTAAGAACTTTTTCTTGACCTGCCTCTAAGTAGGTAAAGTTAATTAACTAAATAAAATTTTCCCTTTTATATATGAGTTCAGAAAGAACAAATTTATTGTCCAAGGTTGCAAACTAATTTCAGAAATTAAGAATGGATTCAAGGTTCCTCCCTTACATTCAGTATCCTTTGCCACACTGCCACTGATCTTTCAGTTTTAATCAAAATATGGCAAGAAAAACAAAGGTCTATTGAATAATGTCTTATTTTTGTAGTACAAAGGTTTAGAGCATAAAGTCTACAGCCTTTCAGCACATTTTGAATCACTTCTCCCCTGAAATATTTTACAACCTATACCCCAGTCAGTGAGACAGACACCTAGACATAGAGGCAGTTTTTAAGGACATCTGAGTAAAGATAAAGAATGAAATGAAAAAAAAAAAAAACTTTAATCAGAGTTTGTTTACTGGCAAGGATTCAATGATGTGATATTTTGCATTATATGAAATGCATATGGAAAGAAAATGATGACAAAAATTTGGTTCCTGTCATTCAGATAATTCAGTGATAAGAAATTGCAGACTGGACTCTGGAATTTCTGGGTATTCACTACTTCAAAATCTATCTTCAACTTCTTCAAACATAGCGTTGGGCCTATCCACCTGTTTCTAACTCTGTCACTTAGTATAGTCTTCTAAAAGTGAGTAATCAGTAAATGTTTGTGGCATGAGTGAAACTACGTTCATGACCCAAGAATTCTTACACGGGCTGCTGGAACCCAGTAAACTACCTATCAAACTAAATTTGTTCCAGTTTGGTCCATTTTCCTCATGTGAGACAAAAGCCTACTTAAATGGCATATCTGGTGTATTAGTCACTTTCCTGATACTGTGACAAAAATACTCGACACCTGCAACTTAAAGGACAGAGGTTTATCTTAGTTCAGGGTTTCCAGAAAGTTCAGGGCCCAGCAGAGGAAAGCTCTCACTCATGGCATCCAGAAGCAGAGAGAGGAGGAGCCGGGACAGGCATCCTTCCAAGCCAGACCCCCGGGTTCCCTCTGCCTCCCAGAACCCACATGCAAAGAGCACAGGCAGCCATGATCTCATCAGTGGATGAACCCAGTTATTAGTAAAGTACCCCCATGATCCACAATCTAACCACATCATAAACAATTTAGATCTCGTCGCAGTATCCTCCTTCCCCTAGGTGAAACCGTTTCAGTGAATAATAGATCCCTGTGACATTCCCACTCGCCACTCCCCCCGTCACTGCCCAGCTTTCAGAGTCTGTTCATAGATTCTGTGTGGTTCAGAATCGTCCTTATTAGAGGAAGAGAGGGCTATAACATGTGAGTGTGACTTCCTACTGACGAAAACTGTTCAGACACTTTCCAAGTAAAATGATACTCTATGGCACACCATGGAAATTCCTGAGTATTTCAGATAACTCCCAACAATTGTATCCCAATAAGAAAACCTTTGGGATGTCTGAGTGATCCCATCTTTTAGAATTGACATGGCGCCAAATGCTAAGCAATTTATGACATTCAAGAATATGATCTTCTCTTCAGGTGACATTTCAATTAGGTGTGAAGGAGCGGAGTGATAGAGGATGGAGACACTGGGGGAAAAAGAAAGAGAAGAGGAAGAATTTTGTCCCCTGACTGATGGAAGGAAAGTCAAGAACTTGAGATGAAGGGCTCTCATTTTCCTTGACATCTCAACTACTTCCTCTGCTGACTCTAAATTGGCAGAGATGAATGGGAATTTCTGTCAGATTTAAGTAGGGAATCATCTATGTCACCTAATCTCAAGTTTTTAGGGCAAATAGATGTTTTTCCTAAGCCACTATGTCTCAAACTGACTTCCAGTGCATTTATTTTGTTTGGTTTTGTTCTAGCTCAGTTTGTTTTGGTTTGGTCAGGTTTGGTTTGGTTGCTTCTTATTTGAGAAAAGACAGTCACAATTAGATCAAAGTGTTTCATGTTTGGAATATATATATATATATATATATATATATATATATATATATACTTTTAATAACAAGCTATGTCGGTACTTCTTGAAATTTATTCACAACTGGCCAAAGCCCACTGGGGTTTGCAACCAATGTACTGATAAGTTATTTATGTAGAGCTTTGTATTTTCAGTGTAAAATTTTTCAGTTAAATTTTCATCTGAGTTTACAAATAGAACAATTTCTTTGAGACTTACTGCTCCTGCAAAAGATTTCTTCTGATCTGCTTTGTTCTGTCTTATGTTTAGTTTCAATCTCTTTAAAATAAAATTTTAAAAAAAGATACATTCAGAAGTTCATGGCAAATTTACCATGTGAAGGGAGTGTTGTGTCTATGTATAAGAAAAGCACTCATTCTTGGAGTTGCAAATATACTACTACTTGTCACCCATATAAACTTTAAGACTTTATTGGCAAGGTTCATTGTATAAATACCTTGCAAAATGTTCTGATTCTGCCAGTTACTGTCAAATGATTACTACCAAAAATGAAGTTCTTATATTTTAATCTAAGAATTGAAGAAAGCTAGGCTTTACATGAAAATAAAGTCAGTCTTCCTTTGTATTTCTAGATAGAAGAAACATTGGTTTAAATCAAAATCGTAACCCCTCATCTGTCACGTCAACCTGGGTTGAGAGATGGCCTTCTTCGTTCCTGATTCCCTTCTTCAACCTATCGCTACCAGCCAAATCAAGAGACTCTCCAAAAACACTCAGAGTTAGTGGGCATAGCTAGTAAGCCGTGGCTGTAAAATCTTCTAGGGAAAGTAATAAACCGAAGAAATAAAACCAAAAATGCATGACAAAATCATACTCGTACTAAAGAGAAAGAAAAAAATTGTACCATGGCCCTAGTGCCTCTTGCCAATGAATTATCAATGTTTTTCAGGTTCATCCTAAAATATTTATTTCCTTGAAACTTATAGAATGAATCTTTCTTGAACTGGAATTGAAAGTTCTAATATGCAACTACAACTCTCTACTGATGAAAATTATACAATTGCACTTCATTGCTTTCCAAGTAAAATTATACACTGTAGCACAGCTTGAAAATTTCTTGATTGATTTAGCCCCCTCCTCTACCTGCTATAAACTGGATATTGAATGTCACCCAAAGACCCATTTGTTAAAGCTTAGTCCCAAGGGTGCAATTACTGGGAAGCCATGGAATCTTTAAGAAGAACATACTGACAGGTCCTCTGGTCACTAGTGGATGCCACTGAAGGTCATTGCGGGACCCTAGCTCTTTCCTCTCTGTACTCCCTGGCTTGTAATGCCAGATGTTTTTGCTTTGCTGTGCACTCCCATCAAAATGTCTGCCTCTCTACCAGCCGAGAGAAATAAGGCCAATGGGCAATGGACTGCAACTTTCAAACCTGTGGAAACAAATCTTTGCTAAGTTAATTATCTGAGATATTTTGTTACAGAGCAGAAAGCAGATATATTGCTCTTTGATTGTAGTTATTATTCCCATTTCCTCTATTTTATCACACGTGCATACTACGTAAGTATGAAAAACAACTCTAATCTATCACCTTTACCTCAATTCTTTTTTCTTCTCGTCTTGTATATGAGACCTTGTAAAAATCAGATTGTTCTGAAACAGGAGAGGCTTGGGCACCATATCAATTGCTTGTCTTCCCCCAGTTTTTTATCAATAAAATGAACATAGTAATACCAGTTAACACACAGAGTGATTGAGAGAAGTCCATACATGAATGTAAGCCTGGCAAGCATAAATGTTGCCTATTATTATTAATATTCTTATTTCATAAATCTTTATTTATGTTTCATGAGCAGACGACATTCTCAGATCTGCTGACTGCCCTTGCCTTATCCAGGCCAATAGAATCCCTCCACTTTTTTCCCATCATGCCTGGGGCATACATTTTACAGCAGTTCTTATCAGCAACATGATATGTGTCTCTCTGTCTCCTCTCAGAAAGCCCTGGACGTTGTACAGTGAGAGTCTAAGTGTTACTCACTTTTAAATTTCTGGTACCAGCAACTAGGCCACATTGGCTGTTCCGTAAATGCAAATTTCCTTTTGTGAACTTTGGATACACTAGTGTCTCACTACAGCAAACAAGCCATAGGAAAGGCGGGGGGCGGCATCAGAGATGATATGTCTTGGCTCTGTGAAGCTTATTCTCTCAGTGGCTAGAAGGAATATATCGCCAGCCATCTGAGCTCAGACTAAAATGAAAAGCTGTTAATCCACGCATCCTACCAGTTTTTTGGACCTAAACAACTGTGATCCAGCCAAGCCTTGGCTCATGCCAAGCATAGCTAATTTTGATTTCAGTTTCTTCATATATTTATAAGCTCAGTTTTCCTGAAAGAACTGTACACACAGAACTTTTCTCCAAAAGTGCCAAGAGGATTAAAAAAGAATTGAGATGTGCCATGTACATGCAGCAACACCCCATAATGAATATAATCATTATTTACTAATACAAATAGAAAGCATTTTATAAATAAGGAAACTAAAAAAGTGCTAAGTGATCAGTTGTTATGAAAAAATTTCTGCTAGGAATCCAACGCTTGAGGTGAATGTCACAGTTAACTCTAGTTGAATTCATAATGGAAAGTGAAGGCCTCATTGCGATCTTGAATTCTTCTACTTTTCCAAGAGCTACAAATCTGAATGTAGGATATGTTTTGAGTTTTGCATTTGGAATATCAAAATGATGCCACATTAGCTTAGCACATTGTGTTCTCAAGAAAGATCATCAAAACCTCAGTATAAATACTAAATTTAACCCTGAGGCAAAAGCTTCAAGTGTAAGTTTGGTTTGTAATGTTCATTCCCTCTCTTTTTAATTCTTCTTCATAATACATTGAAATTATTCATAAGATATAAAGCATGCAACATATTCAATCACACACATACATACATATATTCATACAAATATAAATATAACATATAACTGTATATTGACATAGATACATATTTTTACAGGTTCCAATCAAAGTTGTTCACTGTATCAAGTCATTTTCATAAATCTCACTTTTTATGTAGACAGCTATGTTTGGCTTCAGGCTCCACAGGACAATTTGACAATTACTGGTGCAATTTTTGTGGACACATACTTTAATGAAATCCAGATTTTGATTACCAGTTGCAACTTGATACTCAGTTTAGCTCTTCCTCACTTTTTACTTCACTCCCTACCAGCTTTAAACCACCTCCAATACTGTTCTTTTCCTCCTGTTGGACTCTATAACAGAGGATCCAGAAACCTACCACTCTCTCTGCAAGAATAATAAAGCAGCTCTTTATGCAAGCACAGGTCACTGCCCCTACACTATTCTGAGGATCCTATGGAAACTCAAGAAGATACTCACCTAACAAATTCTAAGTCATTTTACTTACTGATTTGTAGATAGACTAGGTGGCAAATTTATTTGGATTCTAAAACATTATCTCAGTATAAGTGAGGAAACAATTTAGAAAGGAAATGTGGTTATAAGTCATCAGAGTAAATCCTCACTAACTCACCATTCCACGCTCTTGTTTTGCAGTGCATCATGATGACGTTTGTTCATGGCGTAAGTGCTTGATTCCTATTAGGAGTTTGAGGACTTTTGATGGAGCTATTCCACTATGCAAAGATTAAAACTAGTACATAGTGCAAATGTAGAGTACATGCTCAGCGTTAACTTTTGTTAAATGACAGGTCATAAAAATTAGGTAATGATTGTCATGTATTGGCTAGTGACTTGAAATAATAAATAATCCAAATACTTTATCTAACTCTATGTGAATACATCCCTGGGATGGACAAATTTTAGAAGTGCATATTCTTTCCTTGGAGAGCCTTTTATTTCATTGTAATATTGACATCTCAAAATTTTCCAGTTCTTCTTTCTTAATGTGTTTTTAAAAACTTGTATATTTATAGGATTTATAGGTGTCGACAAGATTCTTTGGTCAAAACTAAAGCCACGGCTTTCCCTATTTTCAAATCCCCACCATCCCTGTGTTCTTTATAGGCTACACGTCAGGTTTCCGTGTAAAAGCAGCCAGAGTGTGCGTGCATGTATTTAACTACTCTTAGTTAAACAACTCTTCAAGGTGTTCCACGCATTACTAGCCCTTCCTCAAAGTATCTTCAAGCATTTCTGTTAAAAGAAACTAAAGAAACAAAGACTGCACATTGATTTGTCTAGAAATATATATATGAAAAGCAGTGCCAGAGACATAGAAGAAGGGGCAGGGAGGAGCGGCTCTTTAGAATGAACTAAGAAATGTGATGTACATGTACTAAATTCATACAATGAAAGTAATCATTATGCTTTACAAACATAGACCAATAAATTTTTTAGAGGAAGAAAAAAGAAAAAGAATGAATACATAATTGAGCTTAGGCCAATATTAAGAATCTGGAGACAATTTTTACTTAGCAAATTTAGCTTCTCTATTACGAATAGAAATTATTTATAATTTCCATTGTCCTTTCCTGTGAAAAGTAGTACACGAAAGTGAGAACGATCCTGGTCTGCCTCACTGTGGCTATCGAGATATTGAAAGTCAAAATGCTCAGCTCTGCAGGCACTGTTCCACTTTCTTCTGAAACAGATTGTCCTGCCTGCATTCCTATTACTAGGCTTGTTTATTCATATTCACAGGAGTTCTGTGTAGCTCCAAGGACAGCATTCATTACATGTGAGTAGGTGCCCAGGGTGACAATGGGATAAATAGGATTCTGTTTAGGAAACAGTTTTTGTTTTTGTTACTGCTGTATTTCCTCTTCTCCTTGTTTATGTTCCTTGATTTAATTTATTCATTTATCCACAAATACCACTGTATGCTCAGGTCAAAGGCGGTAGCCACTATTTTTCTGGTCAAAGGAAGGCAAAGTGTAGAGGCTGGTGCTGGAAGATTTGAAATAGGTATCAATCTCTCCCTGATGGTACTTGTGCCTAGTCAGACCACTGTTTCCAAGAGCATACCGAAGGCACAAAAAGTAGCCAGTTATAGAATGAGCTAAGAGGTTGGTAGAAAATCAAAGCAAATTTCTGCTTCTTTAGTTAACCCCTAGCTTCATAGCTACAATGTGTTAAACTTATTGAAGCTCCCTTTTCACTATTTATAAAAGAGGAATGGGTGAGCATAGCAAAATGAAATAAACACAATGCGAATGTCAGTGCCTGGAAGAAAGCATTTGCTTAAAGAGCTAATGATTATTTTTTCCTTTAGTTTTATCCTAAAAGCATGAAGTTTAAGGAAACCCATTCAAGTGTTTTACTGACTGACAGAAGCAACAAAATCACCTGGAATAGTTGATAAGCAATATATGCTTTTTCCAGGTATGGTGATGCACACCTGTGTCTTAGCTACTGGGGAGGTTGAGGCAGGTAGATCACAAGCTCAGGGCCAGGCTAGAGAACTTAGGTAGATCTTATGTTAAATTTTAAAACACAAGGTTGGGGGAATTGGAAATGTAGCTCAGTGGTAGAGCATTTGCCTAACGCGTGCCAGGCCTCGAGATTAATTCTCAACATGGGGAAAAAAGAATTACGTTTTTCATTCTCTAACACATACTTAGTGGATTAGATACCATGTCTATTGCATGTTTAACAATCTTTACACAGATACAGATGGGCAGTGAGATGCCAGCACTATCTTCACCCCACCTTAAATATCATGGCTCAGATCCCTCTTGAAATTTGTTGCTAAGCATTTCCATAACCTCCATGTGAACACTTAAATAACATTAAAACCAAAATGCCTCTTGAAATATTTCTTCCTACTTAAAAGCTAGAGGAGTCATTTCTCTTTCCCAAGTAAAATTTCTCTTATATTCCTCACTTACTGATGCAAGTTAAAATATTGGCCATGCAGAAGAAAAATATTAACACTTCATTTTATGTCATATTCATCTATGTGTTTAAAATCACAACTCTCATCCAAGTCTTTTTGCTAGACTAATATTCTGATTATCTAATTTCATCTTCCCAAGACTCAAGCACATGTCTACAGAATCTTCATCATTCCTATTGCCATAGTTCTAGAAGAACATTTTCTATGTTTTG